TATATATATATATATAGTCTTTGCAAAGACAAAAAACCAAAGTGATTTCAACTGAGTCGCTCTTTAAAAACAAGCATGAATTAGGTTATGTGGTTAAGAACATCCTTAAGTGTAATTTAAAATTCTGAACTTTTTGTAAGCTTAAAGCTTCACTTCCACAAAGCTGTATGTTATATTTTTCCTTTGGCCACCAAATCTCTCATAGTAGTTATGACCGTTCCTAGAGGTTTAAAAAAATATCTCTTTCATTTGAAAGTAAATGAAATTAACTGGAAAAAATACATTAATGCTTTGAAGTGTTCTGGTTTGTTCTTCACTTAAAAATGTTGATTTCCACAATCTTTATTGAAATGTTAAAATAGGTAGTTGAGAGACCCAGATAGCATTAGCCTTTTGTAGAGTCTCTTATGTTCATAACCCAAGTGCTTGATTCTTTGAATTGTCCTGAACCAGGAATAAACTGCACCTGCCCTACTGTCGAAGGTAACCTACCTAACCTGTAAAATGGGCAGTACTTCTGTGAGATTTTACAAGCTTCTTCTCTTTTTTACACTACTGTGTAAGACTTAACCAGTCTGCTACAGCCTATTAAACTGTCCCTGATATTCATCTGATAATTCCTGTTGCAGGCAGGCCCCGCTGGCACGATGTGATATGAAATTGAGCAACACAGGATTTCTAACAAGCACCTTTTTCTTTTATCTAGCAACACAGAAATGACAGGAGACCTCTCAAGTAGAAGCATGGTTCATGTTGATGACCTCATAACAGAAAAACAATTTTGCAAAGCTGCCCTGGGTAGTCCCTCTACCATTTAATATGTCTGTATGTTAGAACAGTGTAATCAGAGTTCCTGCAAGCATTTACTATTGCTGCTCTTTGGCTGATGGATTTTAATTTATACTCAAGTTCTGTGTAATACTAAAATCTCAGATGTAGACATTGTATTTAAAGGACTCCTTTTTCTTCAGATTCATGTGTGTATGTAAACATGCTAGGAAAAACTTCAGCACATGTTAAACTGATTATCATACTTGCACGTCTTGTACAGTGCTACTTCAAATGTTTCTCTTCACCTTATATTTTTAGATTCTTATCTTAACTCTGGGTCATCACAGTCTTCCTCTAAAGATGACAAGAGAACGTAACTTCCCCAAAGCACTGTATGATTCAATGCTAGTTTCTGGAAACTTGTTTGCAGTTGTTCTCTCAAGTGTGGGATTGATTGAACTTCTGGGCCTTTGCATGTATGGTAATTTTGCTGAAAATAAATGTTTACTATCTAATAGTATTATATGTATGTGTTTCTTTTTTTGCTTTTTAGGTGCATTGAATTTCAATCCTGATGCTGCTGATTCCCTTCCAGGAGAAAGACAAGCTACAGATATAAACTGGGTAAATAAAGATAGGAAAGACTCTAACAGTAATCAGAATAGAAGTAATTTACCATTTCCTAGTCTCTCTTCTGAGAGAGGTACAGATTATGAAAGCTCTTCAACAAAGCATCATGGCTTTTGTAATCCAGAAAGTCAGTATGGGAATTCTGAAGACTTCCACCAATATTTTGGTACCAGTAAAAGTTTGAAGAATCGCAACTTGCAAAGCCAGAGGTGGCACAGATCAAGAAATGATAGCACATGTACTAGAAGTAAGATAAAACAAAGTACTCTTGATGCTGCTGCAGGTCCAGGAGTTTCAGATGCTGCAATAGTACCTGGGAGAAGAGCACCTCCTAGAGGATATAATGACTTTCTCTCCTCAGAGAGTGACAGGGAGGTACCTAGTGCAGATAGCAGAGGAGCAAAGCCAAAGAAAACACATCTGATGCATGCATCTGGAAGAGGTTTCAGGGAGAAGGCAAAGCAAGTACATGACTGGGAAAAAAGAGTGAGCTCTAAACAGAAAGTAGAGCTGTTTGAAAATGTTCCATCTTTGGATTTGACTCAGTCTGACTCTTCAGAATCATCTGTTGGGAAGGCATTCTGTGATGCACCTCTTGGTAGTGGGGATGAGCAGAAAAGCTACAATTTTGTAAACAAAAGATATCCCCGGAAGCCTGTGTGGAATAAACCCGCAGTAGAAAAGGAGTGTCAGAAAAGACATGATTCACACCGTAGTAAAAATACAAAAGTAGGTAAGAAGTCTTCTCTTGCATATACTCCAAAAGATAAAAATGAGAGGAAGAAAGAGCTCTGTGTTCACAAAAATGATGAAAACTTGACCAGTGAAATCAGGCATCAGTTGCCTGATTCTGTCAGATGTAATGGAAGAAAGTTCCTGCTAAAGGGGGATCAGGCACCTGCACTTCATTTCAGCTGGACCCAGTACTGGAAAAAGCAAAGTGATGTACCAAAAAACAAAGAAACTCATACGGGTAAGCTTTCTAGACTGCCCTGTACTCCTGTATTAAAGATATGATCTTGAGTAATTTAAACTGCCTTCACATTTGACTAGCTGAAGAGGCTTATTATTTCACACTGGGTCAGTATCAGTTTCAGAGGGTAGAATTAAATGTAAATGTATGGTTTCTGGGTAGGGAGGTGTTCTGTAAGTTTAATAGAGAAGAACAGATTTTGTTTAAAGTTGTTTGGGTTTTTTTTGTTTTACTACCAAGCTGCAAATGATGGCTTGGTCAGGCACCATGTTAAAACATGTATATTGCGGGAGTGGAGAGTAAAATTCTGAGCATTCTGAACAATGGGACTTGAGAGGGACAATCCTGAAACTGATTTTTGCAGAATAAGTTTTCTCACATTTTGTGTAGAAGTAGGAAAATGCCAGATACAGGAACTGTATTCTGCTCCTAACTAGATTTTCTTCTCTTTTTTTTTTTTTTTTTTTTCCAATGGTGGTATCAAAAGCTAATTAGAAATAGAAAAGTCTCTGGATACTATTTTTGGAAGTTGAGAATAGAAACATGTGCCATTGACAGTGTAAAGCAGACCCACAGGTTTTGACTGTCTGAGTGAATTTTGTGCCAACTCATACCGTTAGGCACTTAAAACATTAAATGGAAATCAGCTGAATCTCTTCAATGCCATGGTACTGGTTTCTGTTTCTAGACAACCTAGGTAGCTTTTTCTTGCTGTTTTAGATAAGCTTAAGTGTGCACTGAGGAAAATAGTCTCATGTTATTCATAGCACCCAGCAGAAGTCCTGTTTTCTTTCAGAGGCAGTAAGGAGAGAGATTTTTCCTTCCACCCCCGCTTTTTTTTTTTTTTGGTCCCTTTCCAGTTGAACAAACACAGAATTATATGTCATTGGTTTTTACAAAGCACCTCAACCTGATCTCCTGCTGCCCAGAATGACAGAGACGGGTAGACTAGTTCTTGTTATCTTAACTGTGGTATTGAATCTTTTGCAGATTTTGCTTCTCAGTGTCTCTTCTCTTTCAGAGATGAGAAAGTAGTAGAATAAATGGGAAGCATAAGATAGCTCCAGTGAGGAACTTTGTTCCCTTAGGAGAAGCTCAAGGATCAAGATCCTCTTTGATTCTTTCTAACTTAAATACATGAACTTTCATGCTCCTGGGTTCTACTTGAATCAGAAACTTAGACACCTCAGTCTTTCTCCCAGCATTATTAAATAAAAAACATCATATGCAGTGAGCAGGAAGGGAAGTAGTAATCTTTTACAAGGAACTTAACTTTGCCCTCCAAAATGGGAATGTTTCTTTGCATGCTTTAGTTGGGAGCTATTTTGGAAACAGTATCTGCCACTATGTTCAGGGGACTGAGTCTGTGTTTTTTAACTATTTATGGGACAGCTATCCTTTCTGAGTACGGTATACCTTTAGTCTTCTGGAGAAAAGAAGTATGTTTTAGGTGAGGATGCTTTCTTTGCAGCAGGTGATATTCATGGGATACCAAAAGCAGAAATGACTGTTAGTTCTAAATCTTGTGGTGCTTGATTCAGGAGGGCTGGAAAAGAAGCTCGGAAGTGCTTATATCCTATTAAGGAGGGCAAACAGTGTTAATACTTCCAAGTTTCCAGGCATCTATAAGCTTCCTTGCAGTCATGTGTGGTATAAGCACATTTTGAATTGGTAGTCATTTTTCTTTTGTTATTTTCATTTTTTTTGTCCTTCATTATGAGTTCTAACTTACCTTGTATTGGCACCATCTAAAAATGGTACATTTTTACGCTTTACACTTGTAATTAAGATATTTTAAAATTCTGTGGACATAGATCAAATAGCATTTCTAAGGTGTATTTGGTAGCTTTACCTTGATGGCAGAGTTAATCTGGCAGAAGTGACATGGTGCCTTTGTTATGGTTGTACGACTAACTGTGTTTTCAGTCTGTTTTGTCTTTTATGTGGAGTTCTTGATTTATTTTCAAAATACTTTTTCACTTTCATGTGGCTCAAAAGGCCCTGTACTTTGACTATTGTTTCCCAGTAATTCCACTCCTAAAGCAGTCAGTTTAAGAAGGGCTTATTTCCGTAATCTAGGTCCTTCACTGTTAATATTTGTTACGTGGTCTTCCAGGAATACTCAAGGATGGGAATTAAACTTAATTTTGGCTGAAACTTCTGCAGTTAAGAGCTTTAAGCTTTTTGGTTTAAACTTTATGTGAAGATAGATTTCCCATATAAAGTGATGAGTAAAATCTCAAACTTCTGCCAAGCTTAAAACTATTAACTAATTTGTAAGATCAGAATGATTGATATTCATCAACAGGAATTACTGTTGCCACTTTTATGAGAATCTCATACTCCTTCCTGCTTTGAAACTACAGAAATATATACCAAGTAGCAAACTGGAATCTTCCAGGAGTAAACTAATACCTTACTAATAGCCACACAGGAAAAATAAGTTCTGTTATAATTTAAATGAAATCTTGGAATTCCGTTTGAATTTTGTTTCTCAGCTAGCTGATGTTTCATGCACAAGTAATATATTTTATCTGCAGGGTCATTGATTGAACAGCTGACCACAGAGAAGTACGAGTGCATGGTATGCTGTGAGGTGGTCCGAATAGTAGCCCCAGTGTGGAGCTGTCAGAATTGTTACCATGTATTCCACCTGAATTGCATTAAGAAATGGGCACGATCACCAGCTTCACAAGCTGAAGGTTGGTATTCTTCTTGCGTGCACTTTCACTCTCAAATATATATATAATAGCAAAGTTCATGTGTTTCTTATGTTGGAAAACTACTTACAAATATTGCCTAAGGTAGCCAGTAAGCTGTAAACAAAGCAAGTTTTAAATAAAAAATGGGTTTTTTCGGGGTTCTTTGGATGCTTTGTATAATCCTCCTAACTGTTTTGATTCTGTCTTGTATTCTAGCTAAAATTGATTTCCAGGTTTGAATACATAAGTATAAGATGAAATCAGTGCATCAAGATGCAAAGCTCTGTGGCTGTGTTTTTACACACCAAGAAATGTCTCATCTTCTCTCGTCTTGTGCTTGGCTGAGCAGTCAAACAGAAGAAGCACTCCAAGCATTAGTTGTCTGTTTTTACTCAACCACCTCTTAGTTCTGTTCTCAGATAAAGTACTCCTGAAATGTCACCTATGCCATGCAGTGAAATGAAATTCAGAGAACACAGAAAGCTTCTGCCTTTGTCATTAGCTTAAACTGTTTCAGATTCTTTGTATTATGCCACTTTTTGAAACTCTTATACCACTACATTCTGCCCTTTGAATGCTTTGGTGTAATTTAAGGCTGAATTGCAGCCTCTCTGCTTTGTTCAGTTGTGGGATGTAGACAAACTCTGAAGACTAATGTCAATCTTGAAGTGGGGTTAATTTTTTCTGTACCCTGCTTGTTTAACGTTTACCATTCTTCATGTGTCTCTCTGCACAGACCGAGGAAATACAGTCTGTCAGCTATTTCCAAATATTTGAGAGATGTTCTTACAGACTGTAAATTTCTTGCAAAAAGGATTGGTTGCAAAGTTCTTGGATATCTGAAGATGCATAGACAGACTTCTAGGTAGGGCTGGTCGTGCTTCATGCTGACAGTAGAAAGGAAGTTACAAATACCAGCACAAGATTTGAAACAGAAAGGCATTGAAATGTTTGAGAAGGGAAGAGATTTTTGGGTGAGGCTGAGATCCTAAGCCAAACTGAGAGTGCTGAGAACCTTTATCTCCTAGCTGTTTTTCTGTCACCTTCTTTGGAACTGATTTATCTCCCTGAAACACCTTATTGCTTGATCAACAAGAGTGTCTGCTTGTGTAAGGGAGGTTTTGCTTATCTGTCAAGACAGTGACCTTAGATGCTTGAATCCTGACAGCATTCCAAATAGCCATATCTTTTGGCCATTTGCTTTTCTTGTAAGAATTTGTGGACTAAATACGCTACTGTATCCTGTGTATGAGAGAACTTGAGCTATTCATTAATTGAAATTAAAGGTGGTGGCCTCAGTAGAACTGATTCCATAGCTCCAGTAAGGACACTGATGCATATTTCTTGACCTGCAAGGCCCTGCTACCTTGTTTTGATTAGAACTTGTACTTCAGAGTGTATTTGTTTTATGGTAGGTTGTTTCAGTGTAGTTTCTACTTTTCAGGCTTTGTATAACATTGTGGAATTCACTAGAACCAGGGCAGTAATTATTGTCTACCAGAAGATAAATAGGATACTGTAATCTACCTGACTCAATAATTTTTTCTGGAAGAGGAAAAAACCTGCTTTTTTTCTGGACATGATATACTTTAAATCTGCTTGATTCTGCAGATGTTATAAGGAATTCCAGGAAATCTTATCTAATCTCAGTACCCAAACTTTTCACTGCTACATTTCACTTCCAGCCTAGTGAGAATATTTTGTTCATAAGATCAGTTTTGAGTGTTCATTCTTTCATGTTTTTAAAGCAACTGAATGTTTCAGTGAGAATGTCCCTCCATTTGGGGCATTACAGCAGCTCTTATTTCTATGACGCATAGTAGGAGGCTGAAAGTATGTATGTGTACGTGATTTCTCACAATTTTTTGTGATCACAGCATTGTGTCAGAGAAATCCTGACTACTTGGATGAGGTAGATAACGTCCTTGGTGGGGTATCTTCTCATGTAGTTCCATCTTCCAGATTAATAGTAATGGGTATCTGTTATGAGGGAAAAGCAGGTGTGGATCCCTCAGGCACAAGGCACAACACTCAGCAAGTGGAAGCTTTTGGCTTTAATGAAAGCATAGCATTACCATGGTGGGAGCCCTGGGACACCAATGCTAGTCACATGGGGACCCAGTGCAAGAGAACCATGCTTGGGAGTGAAGCTCAAAGGAATGCACCGCAGGGATGGATAGTAAAACTTGTGCCGGTTAACATATCGTACATATGCAATGCCCTGTTTTGCTCATTAGCGAACTCGCTGATGTAATGCAGGGTGCTGTTGTCCGAATTCCAAGATCCGCAGCTGGCTGTCAGGTTGGCACCCATGCAAAGGTGGGTGCAGATGAGGGGGAAAAGTGAACTATGTGAGGTTACTGTGTCAATGAGATAAAGTATGCTTGGGACTCTACATATTTGGGTGGGAAGAAGTGAAGAACTATCCTAGGTTACCGTAACAAAGTTTTCTTGCACCCTACAGTATCTCTCTTCTCAGGGACTCTTTCATATGTGTTTTACTGCAGGTGTCTTCTCTCAGAGACTTCTTTGCCTTCTAATGTCATGACTGTCATCTGAAAAAATTACTTTTAGTTTGGCCAAGCCAGGTGAAAGAATCTGATTATCTGTGGGGAGTCGGAGGGCATTACTCTGTTCTTGGTCCGCTTAGATTAGACTTGTGGTTGACATCCAACATTCATTATTTCTACAGTGTAGACTGTCAGTGGCACTCAGAACTAGAGAATGGATTTTCAGTTCTTGGTCCGCTTAGATTAGACTTGTGGTTGACATCCAACATTCATTATTTCTACAGTGTAGACTGTCAGTGGCACTCAGAACTAGAGAATGGATTTTCAGTTGTGTATTACAGATGTCCTGGTCAGGAGGAGGAGGAGGAGCTCTGCTAGGCATCACCTTGCCATCATGTGGAAAGATTCTTTCCTATAAGGAAGAACGTGACTTTCTCCTTAGCAAGCACTTTTACTAACATTTTGGATTATGTTTTGGAGGAATGTGACCTTTAGGTATTGCACAGCTAAGGTCAATCTGACAAAAATACCTGCATTGCACGCAAGATCTTTTATTTCTTGGGATTTATGAAGGGGAAGTTGTTCTCTCATGTCCCCTTCCTTCTTCTACTTCTTTTAAAAACTGGTGCTTCAGTGGTGTTTGACTTATGCCCTTACATTGATGGAACAAAAGTTTAAGCCATTCGCTCCCTTCTTTGGAGGGAGGGTAGTTTCACTGGTATTTTCATTTTGGCTGGAAGGATTGGAGATACTTGAGTTATTACAACTGTCTCTGCTCCCTCTGCTGCCCCTGCCCTCTGCTTCCAGATAAGCTAGTGGTCTGTACCAATCCAGTATTGGCCTCTAAGATGGCTTCTGAGTTTCAGTGGTCAGAATATGAATCTACTTGACTTTTTTCTCTTTTTTCCTTCCCGCCCCCGCCCCCCCCCTCCCCCCTTAAGCCATGCTATTCAAGGGCTGAAGCTATTCTGTGTGCCTTGGATATTACACAAATGTTGTCACTTTTTTGTTATTGGGACAAAAGCTTTTGTGTCTAGCTGAAAAGTCAAAGCAATAATTTATTCTGATATGGATTATCTCATTGGAGAACTGCATAAGACCTTTTAGAAATGGTAACCCGAAACTGCCAGTGTTGATTCTAGTATATTCTACTATAGTTGAAGTGACTAAAATCTTCTGTTTGGAGTTCTTTTTACATACCTAGCATTGTATATACGTTGACAATTTGTGCTGCCTTTGGAAACATAGGCTTTTAGCATTCACTCTTTATTCCAGCAGATGTGTTTGGATCCTTTCTTATGTAATCACCTATGACTCATCTAGGCAAGCAGGTAAAGAGGAAAGTTGCTTGTTTGAAACTACACGTACAAATCCCTAGTCTGTATATGTAATTCCCAGCTCTTCCTACTCAAAGTTCTTTTGAGCCCTTTAATCCTTTAGGATTCTGGAAACAGGAGATCATTCACTGTGCCTTTATGACAATAGGTATGCAATAGGAGGGTGCAGGGTTCTGGGTATGCTACCACAGATAAAGATTTTTGTGGCTGAAAGTGCAACAGATAGGCACACTTGGAATATGACAGTGTATGGAAAAAAGTTTGGTAAGTAATGAGAAGGAATCCTTTTATCCCAGAAGGAAGGAGAGGATAGCAAATACTAAAACAATCTCTAGTAAATGGGAGTGAGGTCTGTTGATTTTGCTTAGGCAACTGTTCTTTTGGTGTCTTTGGTTGGAATTCTGCCTACTTCGCTCCTGTTCATGGAAGATTCATGAGAGTGGAATGTTCATTCTGTAAGGTCATCCTCATTCTCACTTTCTTCAGTAATCAGGATTTGTAAGGAGTGGCTACAGGCCCACTCCTTACAAATGTGGATAATTAGGAGTCATCCTATGGTCATTCTACCCTACTGCAATTGCATCTGAATCCAGGAAGAAAACTTCTATTTCTTACGTTTTTGGAGGAAAGCAACTGTGCGTGTTCCTTGTGGGTGGACCCATATGAATGTAGTTATGTCTTAGAGGAGCAAAGGATAATCAATGATTAAGAGGAACAAAATATATCTCAAAAGGCTGTTTTGCTTGGTAAAAGGTTCCTATTTTACAAGGACCTTCACTATATTTTAGAGAAACTGTTGTTTGTAGAGGACTAGGTGTCCTGCTCCAGGAAAGCTGTTGATAAGAGAGGCCTTCTGCTGGCCTCTTGAAGCTTTGATGATAGGCTTACCTTCACAGCTTTTGAAAAACATAACATGGTATAACAATGAAAGAAATTATGTTGTTAATATAATAAAATATACTGTACAGAGTAATCCCATAGGGAATCGCTTAGGGCTTAGTATGCTAGCTTTGGGAGGAGCCGCAGAAGGTGCTGACAGCTTCGTTAGCAGATAACCCCTTTCAGTCCCCTGCTGCCAGTTTTTACCGGTAGCTTTTAACTCTTCTCTCTGAGACTCTTCTTTCTGAGATGCTTCAGTTTGTAGCAGTCAAATAAAAAAAACAATCTTGGTCAGGAAATGCAAGTTGGTCTTGAGCATGAACATGAGAGTATACTCCTTGTGCCACTGTCATACAGCTGCTCAGCCCATAATTGTACAGCTCTCTGCAGCAGTCTTAGTGGCACAGTGATAGGAGCCAGGATAACAAGCGATATGAATAGGCGCCAAGTATTGAAAAGAATAGACGTGCTTTAGATTTGCATTTCAAGAGTGTCAAGGCAGTCTATAATCTGGATCATTCCAGTTTTTGAAAATCATTATGATTGTGCATTATGATGGTTAACGTAGGAAGCCTCCAATCCAACTGACAGCAAACCTAGGTGTGCCTGTCATTGCAGTGCAGTTGTCTTTTCACACATAGGGTTTCCTGTTTGCAATCCCTCCTGCATTCATGATGTGAAAATATAATAAATCTTGGTCAGATTTCTTAATTGCAAAGAACAGTTCTAAAATCATAGCTTTATTAATTTACCAGCACTGATATATATTTTTATTTTTATATCTATCTATCTATAAAAAATACATACCTCTTTCCTGCCCCGTTTTGTGTTCAATAGTGCTCTCACACTGGTATTCATAGCCAGATATGTACTGTATTTGGGAAACATCTTCATGAATGTCACTTTTCCTTGCACTTAAATTCTTCCTTTACTGCTAACCAACACCCTCCTGAAATGCAGAAGCAAGAAAACTACTACTTAATAAAATACCAACTTGAAGAATAATGTCCTAGTCAATAGCTAGGTATTGTCACCTTTAAATTAATTAAAGTAGATTACTCTGATTTATATAGCACTAATTTATTCTGGACATGAAGCAATACTAAACTGGTCTTCTACAAGACATGTAAACTTACAACATGAGAAGATAACAAAAAGGAAAACACAGGTGGTGCTTAAGACTGTAGTTAATTATATTTTTCTCACCAATTTTCAACACTTTAACACTTTTTTTTCCTCACATCTTTAGGTATGGTGAAGACTGTCTGTGTTCTAGTAGAATGTCTTATAACAGAGTACATGATAATAGAAAAAGTGCAATTTTAAAATTTGTTCTTGCTTCTATATAAAATTGGAGCCTGGTCAGATGAAGTACCACTGCTGTGTTTATCTTGATACTGTATAAAATGCATTTTTATTAACCTGCTTTTTCACCACTTCTGAGTAAATGGAAAAACTTAGTTTCGTTGCAGCTGTGGTAAGAAACAAGGCAAGAGCACTTATTCTAGGCTTGCAAATTAGCTCCTTTATTTAATTCAAGTCATTTTTATCTTTAATTTTTTTATCTACAGATGGTAATAGTGGTTGGAGATGTCCAGCTTGTCAGAATGCTTCTACACAAGTTCCTAAAACTTACACTTGTTTCTGTGGTGAGTTTCTTGCTTGCTTTTGCAAAGAAAACCTATTTTATCATTTTGATTCTTTTTTTTTAGTTTGAATTCCAATATTGCTGCTTGCTTGCCTACATCCCTGAAATTTCACCTTGTTTAAAACTTTATTGATGCTGGAAGGTCGCTGCACAGAGAATCACACATGTTGCTTGAAACATTTAAAAAATAAAATATTAAATTGTAAGTGATAAATATTTTCATATCACTATGTAAAAATAGTGATTTTTGTAGAATAATGATAGAATTGGGCTGCTGTCCTACAAGCTTTCCTTCTGTAGAAGGACTGAAATAACCTGTATGTGTTACATCTGTCTGGCAAGATATGCCAAAATAACACACAATTCAAGCGTACAATTACCTAAACCTTTAAATTGATTTAGCAATTTTTGTCATATATGTTGATCGGGGACACATGCAGGTTAAATAGGAAATAATATTCAGACTTTTCAGGCCTTTATGTAGATACATGTTTAATAAAGGAGGTAAATGAAATGAGTACAACATTCACTAAGCCATAAGTATATGATGAAAAGGGAGAAATTATGTTAGCTAATTGCATACATGCAAATAGATTTTGTTTGGGATTTACACTTTTGAAATGTGTGTTGATTTCACGTAGCATCCTCTTCCTTGAGTCAGAGTCACTAGAAGGTTTCACCTTGCTTTCTACAAAACAGAATATTGTGGAATTGAGACAGGAACTGGGAGTCAGTGAACTTGCTCTAAAGAAACTAGACTTACGCTGTAATAGGTAACAATTTTATCTGAAGTTCTCTTTTACCTAAATGTGTCAGTGAGTTAAGAACAGTACAATGCAGGTTAGACAAAGTTTTTGTATGACAATGTGTGAAATCTTATATGTATGGAGATAATAATTCAGTTAGAATTAATGTTTTGATTCCAAATGAAAATTACACTTTTAAGACAGGTCATCCATCTGTTAAATAGGAAAGAAATTCTACTTAGGCTTAAAGACTGTTTCATAGTTTTGGGGGATCTACAGTAGGAACCTCAGGTAGTCCACAGGATTAATATTAGGAGAGCACTGTGTTGGAACATAAGTCTTTAATTTTCTATAGATAATTTTACGTTAACGTTACAGCATTTGGACATCACCAGTTGCTTATGCAATGCTATCTTCTGTTTGATGCAAAATATGTGTTGAGTGTGGTTAAGTGTGGTTTTTTTCCACTGTTCCATGAGGAAATTCCTAACTTATTTTTCTTCTGAATCTTCTAATTTTCAGGATTTTCCTAGGTATTCAACTAGTTTAATTGAAACTCAGGTGAATAAATGCCATCTGTGGTGTTTATTCTTATTTTCCTAACTTGCTACTTGTAGCATATACAAAGGTGTACTAAGAGTTAAACTGAGATAACTATGCCACAAAAAATAAATTTTCCTGGTGTTTTTAATTGTTCCAACTCGAATGTGTAACATTGGCTCAGTTGCTTCATTGTTAATTTAATTCCCCTCTTGCAGAGAGCCAGATTAGGTTTTCATGTGTTAACCATGGCAATTAACTTTAACCCTGATGATCATCTCATGCACTTAGAGCTATGAGATTTGCTAACAGTATGTCAGGTTAATTAAAATATGGTTTCAGGCCTTATCTGAAATACAAATACTTGAAGCTAACATACTGGATTTATCACTTCTTGTTGCATTCATCAAAATGTCAACCTTTAGATTTATGTAGAGTCTGCTTTCTTTTATAGAAGTGACTTCTATAATTTGCCCAGTCATTTCATCCTGCTCCTGTTCCCCATCACCTTTCCACCTAGATCTTGTTTTCTGAGAATGGTGTCTTTTTTGTTTTTTTTTCCTTTTTTCCTTCTGCATTAAGGCAGCAAGGGAGTTTCACCCTTTAATTTTCTTACCTACTATGCAGCCTGACCAACTAAAGGGGGCTTTTAATTTTCTTGTATTTTATCAGTTTAATTTAATGTAAAATGCCAGCTACCTAAGTGCCTGCTGAGAGCATAGAAGGAAAGAACCTTCTGGAGCTTGATATTCCAGTGGCACTTACTTTTAAAGAAGTCGTGTATATATCAGCACTGAAAGTTGAGAAAAACATGAGACATCTTGTGTCGTTTTGTTTTTCAAAGATGACTACTGCCAGTATTGAAAATACAGCTTTTTCTTTTTGGTGTGGTATTTTTCCCAAATTCAGTATTGTATTCAAGGCAATAAATACATTTTTGTCTTTGACATGGTTTAGGTAAAGTGCACAATCCTGAATGGAATAGAAATGAAATCCCACATAGCTGTGGGGAACTTTGTGGGAAGAAGAGACAGTGTTTGGACTGTCCACATCTTTGTAACATGTAAGTAAATGTTTATCATATGAATATTGAAATGATCTAGAGAAAATTTCTGAAGACTGTATCCGGATATTTTTGACTGTAGGGTATGCTTAAAGGTGTATTTGGTTTATAGCTCAACTGAAGCCTGGAAGAAATAGAGGCTATTTATGTTGGTATGTCTAAAGTGAGTTCGTGTGAGAGAATGAACAGGAGGTCAGTAACAATAGTTGTAGCAAGATCTCCATCATATTTTAGGAACTGAACCAGCCACCGACTTGGTTTCAAGAACTTTCATTGAAGTAGAGAAATAATAGTGAATAGAAATAATTTTAAATGTGTATCCAGTGGTCCACCAGACATTTTAGGTGCTGCTTTTCCTGTAATGGTGTCTGTCTATCTTAATCTGAGAGCAGTGGTGCTTGGTTAAACTGAATAACTGCTTACTTCTATCCTTTGTTTCTTTTTCTTTTCTTTGGCTTATAAACTGTTGAGGATAAGAGGGCATTATATGTATTTATCTATTTGTTGAGACCACCAGCTGCTGACCCCCATCTCAGGAGAGGCATGTGTCTTTGGAGGACTTTTTTGCCCAGTCAGAAATAAGTAGACTCCTTAACTACTTTGAGAACTCCCTGACTGCAATTTGCTACCTGACAAACTTTCCTGTAGTTCTTGGAAGAAACAGCTGTTCTTTTCCTCTTCTTTCCTGTCCCAGTTTACAGCAGAGGCTCATTTTCTGGCAGTCTCTTCTGGGAAGTCTTCTGAACAGTGGTGGCAATATTGTGCCTATTGCAAGCTATGAAATTATAGTCCCTGGTAGTCTAATCCACATCAAGAGCTGTGAAAATTGTGACCTTTTAAAGTCCAAATTTGCTACTGGTTTAAGTTGTGTTATCATTCATCTTGTTCCACATGAGTAAAACCAGGCTGAGATGATCCAGTCCTGGAGGTAAGGAAACAGCAAGGGTGCACATCAAGATAATGGGTGGTTTTGGCATACTCCGACTTGTGATAGTGATCTGGAGAGGAATGCACTTTCAGCATCAGTGTTACCCAGTTTTGGACATTCCTCAGTATGTGTTAGACACTTCTTCGTCCCATGTGGGAATCTTAGGTATTTATGAGGGCACACTCTGCCTCCATCTGCTGTATCAAAAAGCAAGTAGAAACCTGGTTTCCTCTTGCTGTATCAGGAAGTGGTGGAGTTAGAGATGTGGAGCTTTGGTGGAGTTAGCGATGTGGAGCTTTATCATCTGAATGCATCTTTGGCAATCTGTTTTACCAGCTCCTCCCCACTGGACAACCTCAGCTGATCTAGAAGTCCAGATCATGATCTGTATCTGAGCAGAGTTTTTCCTCAAGAGAGTACTCAAAGGTGGACTTGTTGCCATCAGGACCAGGAGTCTGTTTCATGGTTCTTGCTTGAGTTTAGATGATCTCAGAACTCTTTCTTGCAAGCACCTGTTTCTTTGGATTGTGGACCTGCTGTGTGCCTTTTTCCCCTGCTCCCACAGGTTCTCATAAGGCAACAAGGTTTGAATCACAAATGCCATTCTGCTCACTGAGACCCTGAAAGGTTTTTTGGTTTTCATTTTCTTTTTCTTTTCCCCCAACTTCCGGGTCAAATGTTTCATGTCACTGTCAAGACCTTCTACCTCACAGTGTGACAGGACAATGACTTGTCTGGGGCAAACTATTCATGCTCTTCTCAAGTCTGTGTGATTTTAGTTAATAGTAGGGAAGTGTCCATTGTTACAGGCAGTGGTCTGAGTCTGGTGTGGTGTCTGAGTCTTGGTGTGGCGTTCTTGATGTTGCCCTTTCTCCCGTATTTAATCCCATCTATTCTGAGAAACGCTTTGCAGTTCAAGTATGTGGAACTCTCATTTAAAGTCCAGCTCCATTCATTGTCTTCCAGTTGAGCAGACCTCTGTATCTGCAGTCTGTGAGCCTCTGACAGAGCTAATCTGGATGAATCCTGTTATGGACCCTGTTCATTAGTGGGACTTGAATCTGAGTCTTGTGGAACCTGCTTTGAGTCATGAGATTCTTGCTTAGTTTCTTACCTTTCTTTGTGGCTATTGCATCGAGTATGGGAGATCTAGATGCTTATAGCTATCCCCTGCTCTTTATATCATAATTAATTATGCAGTGCCTAGCAACAGAATCTGAATTGCAGTATTGTCTGAGTTTTCAGAAACCACACGCTGTGTATCTATGCTGCAGCTATCTGGTGTGATGCTAGCAGGATCAAACAAACATCATCCCCTATTCTCATGTGACATCAGAGGAACATTGTTCTCATTGCTTCGCATTAGGATGCTTAGTTTTGCTCCCTTTGCAATGTAGATGAAATGTGCAGAGTACAGGGGGTGTTGTAAGTAAGCCATTGTAATAGTTGTTGGTGGTCTAAACGTCAGCCTCCCTCCTGCTGTCTGCTTTCTGTATGCATTGTGTTATGCTATATGCTAGGCTTGTGTGAACAGTTGACCCCTGTAGAATGAGCAGCTCTGAGAGCAATGTGACCACTGGTGTAATCTTTTGGTGGTGGCAGTTGTGCTATTCCAAGTGCTGCTTAGGTGCTTAAATTATTATAGAATCATAGAATGCTTTGGGTTGGAAGGGAC